ACTCAGCTGACTCCAGGTCACAAACTTCTGGAACCTTCTCAGCCTCATATTGAAGCTAAACTAAATCAACACCACGAGCTGATGTACATCAGAACATGAATCTGTGTCACAAAGCGAGGGGCGGGGGCCACATGGGGGGCAGAGCTAATGCAGCAGGAAGTGAAAATAATTTCATTCCTTTCAATTTTATTTCTTGTTTTATAACAGGAACAGGTTTTTAAAAACGTTCAGTGAAGGTTTTTATTTTAACCATCATCATATTCTTCCTCCTCCTCTTCCTCCTCCTCCTCTTCCTCCTCCTCTTCCTCCTCCTCCTCTTCCTCCTCTGAACAGGCAGAGGAGTCAATATGTTCGCTGTTTTTTTAACCATCATCAGTATTCTGCCTCCTCCTCCTCCTCTTCCTCTTCCTCCTCCTCCTCCTCTGAACAGGCAGAGGAGTCAATATGTTCTGCTGCTGCAGCTGTCAGTTTCCATCAGCTCAGCTCTGCTCTGAACCAAAAACAAACTCACAAACACAGAGAGAGTTTTATTGTGAAAGTCTGGGATTAGAGATCCATGTTTTATTTGGACCTTCAAGGTCAGACAGAGAGGGGGCGCAGTTGAGGAGGAAGAGGTTCAGATGCTGGAACATGTGCCGTGGAGAGATAGCATTCATGTTCTGGACATGGGGGAGGTGGGGGGGTTAACTGCCCCGGGGTAAGAACGCTGACTCTGGGAATGATGTTAGCGGTGAAGCTAACAACAGTCAGAGGTGAGAAACAGGAAGTCAGTTTGGGTGGGACTTTACTGCCCCACAGTGGAGGGGGGGGGTTCTGGTCGTATTTCTTGGTCTACGATAAACACGTCGTTATTCGTACCTTTGATCAAATCCCATCATCAAATCCCTGCATGTGTCTTTGTGGGTGGTTCAACCTCAGGTCAGCGGCCCAGCGTGTGTCGGAGCAGCCTGGACAGTCAGTAAGTCTGACTGACACAACAGCCTGTTCCTCCTGGCTGGAGGATTCGAACCTGCGACCTTCCAGACACAAATCTGCTTCTTTAACCAGCACTGCCCCCTAATGACTGAAACACGCCAACGCTATGAAGAGACTCAAACTCACGCAAAGTAAAAAAGTTGATTAATCATGATCCTGCGATTCGTCAGAATATGATTTTTTTTTTTTTTCCAGTCCTTTGACAACTAGAACACAAACATCGCCTGTGAACAGCTGGAGAAGTGAGACGACGACACGCGACGTCCCGACCGTGGGCTGCGACCCCATGGTGTGAACACTAGCCTCTGAGTGATTGACGTATTGACACGGTGCGGTGACCTCAGGCCTGCAGACACGGAGGCAGCGGCTCACGCCGTTATCACGCACGTAAACAGATCGTAAAGGTCGATATTCATTAACCAGAGGATGACACGTCTGGTCAGCGCCCCCTCCTGTCCACTGACTGGGTCAGTGACCTGTTTTTATCATGATTATCTCAGCCAACAGTTTGTTTTTCCAGGTTCCGAGGTCCGTGACTCAGACCAGGTTCTGCTGTGACCGTGTAAACAACAGGGTCTTTTTTTTTTTTTTTTGGCCCGGGGGTCCTCGGGCGTGGAACATAATACGTCCGGGGAGACTAA